GTAGGTCAAATGTTGACCTAGGACCAAAAAATATACCACCAATCGCGAGATCTCGTTGAGAGCAATCCGTTGGTTTTTTCCGCTAAGCTCTACGACCTTCCGTTTCGAAACGCCAGGGGGGGGGTCGTAACAACCCCCCCCCCCCCCCTGGTCGTTCGTGTTATGAGAAATGGCCTGGTCGTGCGAGGGTTAAATGACAGCCCTGCACGACATATTAACATAGCAATTGTTGCCCGGGGGTGCATTGTCACATACAAGAGCAGGTAGTTGTGTACCCAACCAGTACGCGGGTTACCAACGTTGCGGAGTGAGCAAACCTTCTGCAAGTGCGTTATGACATCGATCCAACTGTTCTCAAAGAGAACCGAATCGATGGCATTTCTAAGAAAAGGCACACCTAAGTAATAGTCCAGGTGTAACCAGATGTTCACCTGTCATCTCAAGATCGCTCTGCAAGATGCAACCACCATTTCATTTTCAATCTTCCACACGACCTACAGTGTTGCGAAGAAAATAAAATCCGGCTCTAGATTTTAGATACATTCATGGGTCATTTACGATTACGTTATTGTAGTCTTGGGCGGGCCAAACTAAGCTTTCTCAAGCGTGCTCTCAGTGAAGGGATCGATTTTCGAAACAATAGGCGCTCACTTAACCGCACAGCGTTGGTCAGCACCTGACCAGCTCTCTGATTTCTGTCTTGCAACGTAGCTAGTCGATATCGCACACCACCATAGGAGCTGCAAGCTTCCAAATATAAGTTTCAACATACCATGAATGACGTCCGTGTGACTGATTCATTTTAAATGCGACTTATTACAATAATGCGCAAAAAAAATCAACGGACATAAATTGCTCATGTTCATCAATAATTCTAGCAAAGTGATACCGAGACTGAACACCCCGTATACTCGTACCTGACCCAGTCCGTTTTTGCGGGCTCAAGCACACACACATGACCCTGTGCAATGTGCGTTCGGCATTTGTTCGGATTTGAACCCTGGTATCTAACCCTGTGCATTTCTCCTCAACAGCTGGCCGGTTTTTGGACACAGCTGATATGACGACAGAGGAGCTGGTGGTTCTGGTGGCAGCACTGGTCGGTGCTGCCATATGCATCGGCGTGCTGATCGGCGCCTTTCTTTTCCTTCGTGTACGAAGGAAAATGGACCCGCTGACAGCGAGAATCGAAGAGAGCGGCACTGGTGAGTGGCTCTTTAAGTGGAGCAGACAGGCCCGCTTTTGGTAGAACTTGTCGTAGATGGTAGCTTGGTGTTATAACAGCTTTATCCTTGCCTGCTTACTTTGAGACATATTTGATATTTTTTGGCCATTTTTCGTGTTTCGTGGACTATGTTGAGCTATGTAGCTCAGCCATAATTGCGTACCTAGATAGCGTTTCGCTTGGCAGCTATAGCATTTGTATTGGCAGCGCTTTATTTTTATTTTATTTTTGTTTTTAGCAACAGCTGCAGTCAGTCGTAGTGCATGTAGTCTTAAATTAAGTGCTTGTAGAAAATACTAATTTTGTTTCCCGTATCCTCCCTCCCTTTAGAAATGACAGCAGCCAGCGACTTCGAGCGAATCCAGTTCCTGACTCGCCTCCAAGCGCTGAGACCGGAAACTCAAAACTTTCTGGAAATGCTGAATGACACGAGAAAGAAGTTTCATGGGAAGAGTAGCAAAGGAGGGGACAGCAAGGCCGACTCGAAGCACAGAGCGTACAGGTGAGGAGGCTGGGAATGGGATATGTGATTCATGATACACATGGTTGGAAGCATATTCCGTATACATTTATGGTTTGAGATGCCGTGCTTTGTTGTTCCGAATGGATTGATAGAACTCGATATGCCCTTTTGATGTGATAAAATATATTTGATTGGAAATGCTGGCCACTCCCTTCCTTCACTTTTTCGGTCACTCTATTGAGATGATTATAATTAACGTTTTACTTTTATTTGAGCTGAACTTCACTTTTTATGTAGTGACCAGTCACAGCACCGTTTGGCGTTATCGGCATTTCACTTGTGGCATAAAAAACAAGACTATTATTGACGTGATGACTCCTTTTCTGACCCCCTGTGACCTTTTTGACCTCTCCAGGTCAATTCTGCGCGACCTGTCTCGGATTCTGACGCTGCTGAACAGAAAAGAAGAGCAGATTCGGACCGTACCTGCAGATTGGCAGCGACTGCTGGGCTGGGCCGAACGGCTCCTGAAACGCTACAAACGACAGAAAATCTCCAAGGTGAGAAAATACAGGGAGCTCCCGGAAAAAGTAGACAGATTTAACGTACTCTGCGCTGTATGTTGAGCATGTTACTGTGAGCAGTAATCGCCACGCACTTTCAGAATGTGGATCGCTCATGATTGTTCAATACAATACAATACAATGTTCTTCAGGTACGATTGCTCAAAATGCTAGTTTAAACGGCCTGGTTGTAACACCAGAGCGCTTCCGTCATAAAGTGATGGACTCTTGATAAACTCATCCTCTTACCCTCTCACTCACTGCACTTTTGTTGGTGATCGGCTCAGCCCAAAGTCTCTTTAGTCCTCTCGTCTCATCTTACGGCTCTGATGTGATCTCAGACTCCGAGAACCCAAACCCAAAAGCAACATTTCAGAGCCGGAAGGATGTTAGGAATTAGGGGGAGACATTGGTCTGGGCAGGCACCCTAGTGAGTCATCGGGGCTGAGCCCGTCCCGAAGGACAGGCCGACCAGCCCCAAGGTACTCACTGCACCCGGCTACGGGGTGCGCTCCCTCGGGAGCAGCGGTGCCGCTCCAAGGGAGCAGCCCGCATGAGATAAAGTTGCCTGTCCAGGCCGGAGGGGGGTTGCGGCGTGGAGGAGAAGGATTTCAGTATCCTGAGGATAGAAGCACGGAACGGTGCGGTCCAGTCCATAAACCAACAAATGACCACCAGCCCCGTCTTGACACACGATTCCCCGTTTTTCCGACAGGAGTTCGGTTCAGCGCCTCATATCGAGTACCTGGCTCCCTCTGGCCACGGTGGGAGTCGTCGTCCACGCTCCGCTGCAGGTCGTCTTCACTCCAACGGCAGCGTCCCTGCAGGATCACACTTCAGCATCAGCCAGGCCATCATTGAAGAGGATGACGAGCTAGACGGCATACAGAGCCTGCCACCTATCGGGAGAGAGGAGAACCACAGCCGCACGGCGCCGCCGCGTGGCGGCGCGAAGTATCGCAAGCATGAGCCGACGGGCCGACGTCGAGCAAGAAGTACAACTAGGCTCGCGACTGGAGGATCGCGTGCGCACAACGCTAGCGTGCCTACAGGGCTGCATCTGCTACCTGAGGAGCGAGCGGGAAAACCGGTGTATGTTCATCAAGTGAATGGCGGCGAGGGAGAGGCGCTGTTCGTTGGAGACGCCTGGCCTCGACCGTCGGCGGGTAGCCTCCGCCCAGCCTCCAGTGCTCATAGTCTCACCGGAGGCTGGCCTGCCCCGCCCCGCTCCCTCCCTCCAGGGGGTGGGGAGGAGCACCCCCACCGCGGTCCGAGGCCCACCTACAAAGACTGGCCTCTGGAGAAGCTGAAACACATCCGGGGCGCGCGGCAGGAGCGAGAGCGTACCTCCGACTTCACTGATACAACAACCGATGGGCAAAGCGGCCACTCGGGCGGGAGCAGTAACGGTATGCCTCCTCCACCCCCGCCGGTCTATGGAAACGAGAGGACCAAACCGGCCGGAGAGGATAAACTCGATAATAGCTTCAACGAGCATAGTGATTACATAGAGAAAGACATTGATAGCTTCAGTGGTCGCTATTTTCATGAAGAGGAACTGAGTACTGTACTGTAGTGAAGTACTGAAATTAAATAGGGTGACATCAATGATGCGAAAGACATTGGTGTAGTGTTCGCTACATAGAAAGGAGGAGACTTTTTGGTCAGTTAGGGATGCATTGTTGGCCAGAAGTCGTAACACTTTTCACCGTTTTATGAAATGTTTGAAGGAAATGTTTTGTGAATGTTCGCTATTTATACGATTTCATGACGTATCGACTGAGATTATTCGTGTAATTACGTCCTTTTTTCAATGTGGTATCTTCTGACGCAACATGTTTTGTCAAAGCTATGTATCGCGATGAATACGTTTGGATACCACACTGCGGTAAGAGTGATTTCATAACCTATCTTCACTAAAAAAGGCAAACTTTTATGACGCTCCCGAAAATATTGGCCAGGATTCCTTCTCCCCTCTGGCAGGCAAACGCCTTGAGGAAGGAATAGATGGGCCAGTGGAATGAGGACTGTCTCGTTTAGAGAGCCGATTCTCCAGTGAGGACTGATTTGAACATCAGCAATCGTGCCAGTGTACAACCCTGCCATCTAGTGGCCGATTTTGAAGTGTTATGTTGCTGCTTATCCCGTGTATAATAATAATAATAATATTGTTAATCAACTTTGTCTTGCGCCTGTGTAATATTTGCTTTCTGCTGTAAAAAGCTTGGCTGTTGTAAGAATGTGTCTTCAGTGAATCGGCGTAAATAGTTAGATAGTGTGCATTCTCGTTCATATAATGCAGTCGTTTGATCGATATCAACCAACCGTTTCAAACGCTGAAAAGCCTCTGCAATAAACCGTTTCTAATGGTGAATAACCTTCGTGGTCGTGTGCAATGCTCTGCGAATCATGCTGAATGTAACGCTTTTGAACGCGGCACACGAGACGTGAGTGTATGTTCAATCGCAATTCGCAGCTGTCGAAAACGGATGTCGCTATACGCTGTCAGCGTCCAATAAAAGCGCCGGTTTCTATACCGTTTATAGTTCGGTGTTCGGAATGTGTTATTATCAATAGCAGAGAATATTGGTATTCGACTCAGGCTTAACTGCATGTTACAACTCTTGCGTCTATAATAACTATGTTTGTGACGTGCTATTCGAACCATTATTGTAGCTAAACGTTTTTACTAATTCGGTTACGTGTGTTTTTATTGTACGTGTAGTAGTAGAAAAGTCTGCTTTACATTTTTTGTTTGTTTATTACTAACACGTATGCTAGAAAAGCACCCGTTCACCTATTCATGTGGATATACCGGTCATCGCTACCGCATATGACTTAATGATAATAGTCAGTCCACCACTAAACACACAGATAACGCATTTTGTGAGCTGCTCGTAAATACAAGTTAATTAGATGTCAATATCACAGACACCTCGCTGCGAGAAGTAGTAAGTCCTAAAGCAAATATACTCTGCCATTTATAAACTCAAACTACATAAGCTGAATAATCACACTACAAAAAAAACGTTAACACTTAGGTATCTTCAACACGTCTACAGTCGGAGCAATCCAAAACGAGCATGACTTAGCCTGACTCAGTCTTAAGCCTGACAAGCATGCTACAGCCTACCCAATCTTTAGATGGACACTTTTCGGCACATGTAGAGGTCGGCCTCCCTGTCTTCCTGTAGCTGTGGCGGGCACATGTCCTGACAGAAGGGTGGGAGGTCACCCACCCGGATCGGATGGGAACATTCAGTCGGAGGCAGCTTCTTAGCCAGACAGATGTACGGAGCTTTCTGGTTTCCAGAGTTCTCGTCACAAAACTTCATGCTCTGTAAAAGGGCATGGTGTCTACTTAGTTGCCTAGTTCGCTAGTTAGTCAACTAGTTAGAAATGTTAGGGTCTTTATGACGATTGATATCCGCTTGCTTTTATTTCTGACTGCTTTTATCAAATGATGAAAGTTCTTCCGTGACATTTATGTGAACTTGGGTCGGACTGCATTTATCGAGAAAATTATCATATAATTGTGGTATAATATAGGTACTTTTCTCACTTATGAGGATATTACATTCCTGAGCCCGGCATGCGGAGGCCTACCTACCTAGAAGCCTTAGCTTTAAAGTGCTGCCCCGATTGAGCCACGATTCAAAGAGGTCATGCGCCTATTCTCGTTACAGCATTGATCTTTTAGCCGCTTGACGTGAACGATAAAGAAAGGCCTCGAAACTACGATCATTAAACCCGAAAACGCTTTGGCAATACCTTACCTTGATGTATTTCAGTTGCATACCCTCAAGAACTTTCTCCAATATATCCTTCACCACAACTTCTTCCCCGTTTCCAGACAGCGGTGTACCCTGCGGAACTGGTGAAACCATCACCACTAGCAATAGCAATAGGCACAGGCAGTGCCTCTTGAGCGCCGCCATCTTGCCACCAAAGAGTCGACAGCAAGAGTGCCTCAGGCTATATAATCTCCATGCCTGTATGATATCTGTTCGAGGCGCTACTGCGAGCGTTGATCAACGAATCAGCGAGGGGAGATCAGTGACGAATGCCGGTGAACAGCCAATGGAATTCGATACTGGCTTCCAGGGGTACATGACACTTCTATTGCTGCTGACATGTGCATAGAGGTATGTTTGAATATTTGACGGCACGTTTCTGGTGCCGCACTGACCAACGTATGACCTTGAACGAAAATCACGCGTCGTTACGTGACCGTTTGCCGAGAGTGGACCGGAAGTTCGAGTCTCCGGTGACACGGAGTAGCCGGATATTCATTCAAAGTCGACACGAATTTTTAGTGTCACCGTGGGTCAGCCGCTTAGAGGGCTAGGCATTTGGCATTTGGCTAAGGAAGTTGAACGTATCCAATGCATGAAGCTAAATATAAAGTCAAAATAGCTGCTTGAAAACTTCGAAACAAAATAACGGATAACACTTTGCATGTTTCTGAAGAGAGATCCCATTGCGTTCTATTTCTGATGCGGTATACTAATCTGTCACCATGCTGCAAAACATACACCCTATCTTTTTCCAATCTCATCTGTCAAACCGCACTGCATCACATGTGGTTTCTGGCTTCCCATCTGTTGGCTGTTTGCTCCCTTGCCCCACACAGGTGTTCTCAGGTGGGGCGATGTCACACCTGACTCACATTCGTCACGCGAACTGTGATCATTGGTCGTGCGCGACGATCGTCGTGTTCGACGAGGTAGTCGGTGTTGGTAACGACGCGAGTGGAGGTCAAACGAGTGGTGTTGGTGTCACTGAGGTGCTCAGACGCTGCCGTGATGGATTTTAGAAGCTGACGTGAGTAAAATGTGGTATGTTTTGGTTAATTTACGAATTATACTGCTGTCGACAAAGCACCATTGACTAGCATGTGAAACGGACTTGAATAAGGTGGTCATAAATTATACATATATTTATTATAACTTTGATGCTTGTGGTTACTATTTTATGCATCAAAAAACAAATTGACTTCTTTGTATCGCAAATCTATGAAGCAATTAATACCGATGAGATACGTGTTGAAGTAGCACATGTGTATTGTGTATGGGCATAATCGATTCACGTACAAACAGGAGTCACGTAAATAACCGACATGTAAAGCTCATTTTCCACGTTATTCACCAAATAACCGACATACCAACTTATTTTTCACGTCATTCACATGCTCTAAACCTATTAGATGATTACTTTGAACTTGTCCATCTTTTCAGGACAATGCTGCGCACTTGATAATTTTTTTCCTGCGCAGTGTATGTCAAAGAAGCCCTGTAATCGTGACAGTGCCACACCTTTGTGCATCATCACACAGCCGGTACTTTCCGACTATAGCGACGATGGTCCAGATATACAAAAGCTGGGTGTGTTTGAACAGGGAGAGCTTGTTTGGTTACATACACATTATTAGTATATAGATGTTCGGCTGATGAGGTGCACCTTATAGGCTTGAACCACTTCTATGGTTTCGAAACTAGCTAAATGGCAAACGTTCAGAACGAACTTGTTATCAAGCGCATGTCTGGCTAAATGGGCAACGATAAAAAGCAAGCGGAAATCGATAATAAAACCACACCCTAATTACGTAACAACCATTTGGTCTAAATGTTAGCCAAACAAAGACCAGTGGACCCATACCAGTGCCCTGCGAGACCCTCAAAATCGTCCTGCCAGCCATCTTGCTACGATGACAAGCAGGAACTATCATCTGTCCACAGTGTGATATAGCGTGGGGATTTCGGACACCTCTCACACAGCTATCTAGGAACGGAAATTTGATGACGGCCCCCGTGAGAATGCCAAAAGACGGGACAGCTGCAGCGCTGGGACGGAAGTGGCGCACGACGGCGCTGTGTTTCGTCAGAGCGGTCTGATAAAAAGTTCTATGTTGTGACGAATTTGTGAAGTTGTCAAAGAAGCTGTCCATTTTTTAGTTTTGATGCTTTTTTTAAAACAAGAGCCTTCGAAAACGACATTTAGATTATAGATGATGGTCGATGGATACCGTTTGCATATCCGTTGTTAGGTCGCTTTTTCCATTTACCTTCATTGCGGTAAGAGTTCAACAAAGTGCAAACCGGTGAACGAAAAACAAAGTGCGTTTTATGAGTAGCGCATGTTGTGCTTGGGAATGTTACACCTCTGTGCTCTTGCAAATTGATGACCTTGCAGAGAAGAATGATGGCCCTTATGTGTCTTTGAGGTCAAAGGGTGCGTTTCAATCTTAGCGTTTTGATATTTCAAATTACTGGGCGCAAAATGACCTTAGTAGTCGGCGCGCCCTAAAGCCCCATTAACAAACGATATTTCAGAATTTGAATGATAAGGATAACTAATATTCGAGGTAATTGAAAAATGTAAGACTGTGTTTGACAAAGTGTAGCGATCAAGTTTTATCTGAAACAAAATGACTATATATTTTAGGCTTTGCTTTCGAACGTTGCCTGCTGCATGCCACCTTTCTAGACTCGGTCAGGTAATTGAGATTGAGGAGAAAGTGTTCAAATGCCCCTTTAGAAGAATGTCGAAGGCCAGACCCTCCAATACTCGTAAAGTGTGGAAACCAATCCCCAAAGGTTGAAAGGAAAGGGTTAGGTGTTAGTGGCCAGGCATTTTCCCTGAATCCCTTAATTGCAGCGCAAAATAGCGGCGATAGATGTGTGTTTATTACTCAACTGAATTATGAACCCTTTAAAAATTTATCGATTTTTTTTTGTCGGTGAGGGCTGGTATGACTGGGAGAAATGAAAGATGCTTTTTAATCGAACCTTTCTGGTTGTGCTATAACTATTGCCGACTATTGCCAGATTCAAACAGTGGAAAACCACTAGCAGTAAAACGACCAGCAGCGGTTGCAGGAAAAGCGTCGGCAGCAGCAGTAACAACAGCAACGACGACAGCAACAATAGCAGCAGGCGATTCAAGCTGCGTCGGCAGACGCAGCTGCAGCAGGCAGTTGCAGTAACAGCAGCTACGAAAGCTGCTGCAGCTGGCAGCTGCCTTTGCAGCGGCAGCGGCGGCCGCCTCCCCTCTGGGTGGGGTGGGACATACACCGCCTGCCGTGCGGCAGAACCCTGAGAAGCTAGCAGCTGGTGCTGCGATACCGGGCTCCGATTTAAGCACACCACTGCGCCGCATCGGTCTCACTCCGTGACCAGTGTGACAATCATGGCGCGTCTCTGTCTGCTGATGCTGGCCTGTGTGGCCTCGGCCCTGGCCCTTCACCGGTAGGTGGCATCGAGACAGATTTGACGCTTAGGATTTGGGATGGTGAATGCATTATTTTAGGACGCTTGCGAGAAGCGGTGGATCAGTGATGTTACGTAAAAGTCTTCCTCAAGTGGGCGACTGTGTTCGTTTTTTTGTTTTTTTTTTAAACAAGCACATTCAAACACTGCAACCAAAATTTGAAGCTTTCGCTGTGGTTTCCCTATTAAATTTATTGAAATAAAATATCGATGATGAAGTAACTTAGATGTGTTTATACTAAAACCTTTCCAAAAGGTCCGCTAGCAGCTTGCGTGGTTCTTAGATTTAGAACCAGGTTTCTAGCCGGGGAACCACGTCATGCCTGTCTCATCCGAATAACAGACATAAAACATTCGCTCAGTTTAACAACCGTCTAACCATTCTCACAAAACTCTCCAGGGTGCCTCTGAAGAAGCACGAGAAGCCAAGGAACCTGATCAGGGCCACTAATGCCGGTCTGAACAGGAAGTACAAGGCCCTGGGCAACGGTACTGATGAGGATCTCAAGAACTACATGGATGTAAGTGGTGGCATCTGTTGAACTAGGCGTAGTTTTGTGACGTGATTTTGTGATGATACAGGCCCGAATATTCCAGATTTGTGAAAGGTCATTTCAAGGGTTCTTATGGTCAGCGTGATGCCGTTATTAGATCTAATGCTTTTTTACAAAAAAAAAAAATGACGCGAGGAATAATAAATAACTCTAGATATAATAGCACAACACTTTGCCATGCCCAAAAGGACTCTTTTTAGATAATACCAATAAATGCTCACTCAAATCTGCCACCTAAACTACCTATAACACTAATTTTTCGTCTTTTTTTCTCAGGCCCAGTACTATGGCCCGATCGATATCGGTACCCCTGGTCAGACCTTCACGGTCATCTTTGACACGGGCTCCTCCAACCTATGGGTGCCCTCCATCCACTGCAAGATCCTCGACATCGCCTGCCGTGAGTGCCGTATTCATATTTGTATGTGTACCTAGGGATCATTCAGGGAAATGATTCAGGAGCTTACGATAAATGAGCTTTGAGCATTGCTGACTATCCTTCAGTGGCTTGATGGGAAAAGGACTTGAATAGATAAGTTTTTCTTTGTAGATTTGGCAGATTTCCATGGATCTTCTGATAAAAATCGCACTTTTAAAGTTTTTGAGTAGGCTTTAAAAAAAAAACATTTTTAGCTTGCATCGGAAAAAAATTGTTCGGGAGGGTGTAAAGGCTGAAACAGACTCTTTCCGCGTTCAGGAAATCGCATACGAGAGCCTATTCAAATACATTATAATTCTTCTCGCATCAATCGCTTGCGGGAGGTGCGTGCGATTGATGCGAGCGTGCTTCCATGTATTTGAATAGGCTCTCGCATGCGATTTCCTGAACGCGGAAAGAGTCTGTTTCAGCCTTAACCCTCGCATGTGTAGGGGGGTCGAATGGACCCCCCCCATGGTTTTTCGCGAATAACTCGCGTAAAAAGCTGCCGATCGCGACGAAATTTTCAGTACCCTCGCATTGATCAATTTTACACCTACTCTGAAAATTTCAGGACCCTGACCCAAATGACCTTTGATCTGTGACCTCTTTTCCGAGACCATGTTTGGCCGGAATCGCGATTCCGCGTATGTCGGCTCGCATTAGCCGCGCGTTTGCAAGCTTTTCGTGGTTTCAAACGTTCAAACATGTGTTTTGATGTTGCTCCCATGCATTAGGGTGGGTTTCAAGGTCACCTGAAGGTCAGGTCAGGTCATTGACCTTTGGTGACCTCGGGTGACCTCGGTTCACTTTTTCGAGTTTTACATGTTTCTAGGCTAGTTTTTGGAGCTGAATTCGAATTTAGCAACCATTTGAACATTTACGAAGAAGTTTTGGTGCCTTCGTAACATGTTACGAAGCTGTCAGAGGCGGTTGACGCGTACTACGAATACCCGTCACGACGCCTACTGGTTGACCTGACCTGACCTGACCCGACCTGATCTAAATGCTTTAAGAAATCATCTGTGATCAAAACTAACACGATATTCGTGATCAGTGCCCCGAAAAACCTCTTAGCAGCCACACTTTACGACTTTCTTATAGGTCCTGATTTTCCCGACTTTGGATCATTGACCTGCCCTGGAAGGTCAATCAATGACCTAGGACCTAAAAATTGGGTATCATCGGCTTCCTCTCGTCACGGGCAACACGTTGGTTTTCCGCGAAGCTCTAGCTCGATCAGGGGCCAAACGGCAAGGGGGGGGGTCCAACCGACCCCCCCCTACACATTAGAAGCTGGCAAACGCCGCACACATGCGAGGGTTAAGGAATGGTAGGCTGTGCCGCCGTACTCGCGGGCAGCCGGCACAGTATAACAAGACGTCTGAAGTCTGATTGCGTCTGCCTCGACATTCTAAAGGCATGTTTGTCTCCGGGTCAGACATTCGTCTTCACCACTTCCACTCCTCCCACATCGCTTCCACTCTTTCGACGGACGTCCACAGCGATTATTTCTCCTATAAGCTGAGATTTTCTGACTGCCTTTTCAAACGGACGGCCACAAAATATAGACATGACTCCTCAAAGGGACACTTTTTATTTACATTATAATACTACCTACAAACGTTCATAAGTTATGTGTGGATATATTGGACAGGTATGTATGTAGGAAAGAGCCAGTAGTCTACGAATATATTCAAGAAACAACTCTTCTCAAATTCTCAGTTCTGACTGTCTTTTCCACATTTGTCCACAGGCGTGCACAATAAGTACGACGCTTCCAAGTCGTCCACGTACAAGGAGGACGGCACAGAGTTCGCTATTCAGTACGGATCTGGAGCTCTGTCGGGCTACCAGTCTATCGATACCGTCACCGTGAGTAACGAAGAATAATGTTATTGGGGACGGAGTGCGTGAGAGAGGTAATAGAGGAATGCGTGAGAGAGTTTAGAGGATCTAGCGGGAATATTTAAGAGCGGGAAGTGCGAGAGGCTTCAAGCTGGTAAAAAATTGATGTCAACTGAGATTAGGTATAGGTTAATTTGAGTTCAGACTGACGTGAAAGGACGATGGATGAGATGTGAGTGATAAGAGAGGGATGAAAAAGGGTGCTAAATCAAGATGAGATATATGACGTGCTGCTAAGCTCTCCGTGACTCATATACCGATTCGAGTGCTACAATCACCAATAGCAATTCCCTACTCTAACCTCATCTGTATACCTCTCATCATGTCCCAGGTCATCTCTCTGAGTTCTGACCCTTTCTCTCCCCTCGACCACCTTTCTGACCTCCCCCCCCCCCCTAGGTCGCCGGCCTGGCCATCATCGACCAGACTTTCGCCGAGGCTACCTCGGAGCCCGGCCTTGCTTTCGTGGCCGGCAAGTTCGACGGCATTCTCGGCCTGGGCTACGACACCATTGCCGTCAACGGCGTAGTGCCGCCGTTCTACAACATGGTCAGCCAGGGACTGGTCGAAGAGCCGGTGTTCGCGTTCTACCTGAACCGGTAAGTGCGGAACGTCGGAATATGTCTCTCTGTGGCTTCTAGGCAATAGTGGTATGATTGTTATGAATGGTTTGGAGGGAGCATCAGTTGAGATAGGCATCGCTTGTAGTTTTTATATTGGAAATGTCGGGTTTCTGGGAAAGCTTATAGGAAGTTGATTACTTTTCCCCATCTTCATCACTAATCTTCAACATTTATTATCTTTCGGTGAATCGCAGCTATGACCAGAGTAGCCTCCGACTTCCGAGTACACAGCAGTGTCATCCCACCAACGACAATGACCTCTGATTATGACCTTTGACCAATAACCTCCGCTGCCGCTCAATGCTGACCTCTGACCTCTGACCCGCAGTGACCCGGAGGCGGAGCTCGGCGGCGAGCTGACTTTCGGAGGTACTGACCCCAACTACTACACCGGCGAGTTCTCCTATGTTCCTGTCAGCCGTAAGGGCTACTGGCAGTTCAGTATGGACGGAGTCAGCGTTCCTGGTGCCGAGGTATGCCACTGACGTCACTGGATGGTTTTGATGACGTTATTTGAACGTGCTACCTTTTGAATACGGATAATTGTTCGTGTATTTTTGTTCTTTTTGATTTTGAATAACATATTTTTATTAGAAAGAGTTGATGCTCTCAACGACGTAGCGCCAGTCATCTATGTTATTTGGTCTGTTTCGTGTCTATGACCCCGTTTCCATGGGCATCACTGATCCGGATCAGCAAACTTAAATCGTATTATATTTCTCGAACTCTTCGTTACATGATATAATTCCAAGTGGATTAGGCTTATATAATCAGTTAATCCCTTATTTTCATTTTCATATATCCAGTATAGTTAGACAATATAATCTAACTATACTGGATTAGCTAATCCATTTTTACTGATCCGGATCAGTGATGCCCATGGAAACGTGGTCTATGTTACGTGCTGCTTTCACGCATTATAATGTTGACTTGCTGATACGGACTTTAACCGTAGCGCAAACTATATTCTGACGCAATTTAATCTGCTCCACCGTGAACTGACCCTACCCGACCCAACCTACATAGTTTCACCCGCCCTGACTTCATTCCACTTTACCTGACCTGACCCGACCTGACCTGACCTGACCCGACCTGACCCCACCTGACCCAGTCTGATTCATCTCACGTTCTGTCGTCAGAGTGAGATCTGCAGCGGCGGCTGCGAGGCTATCGCCGACTCTGGCACCTCCCTCATCGCTCTGCCCTCTGCGGACGCGCGGACCATCAACCGTGCCATCGGGGCCATCCACGTGCCCCTTACTGGAGAGTGGCTGGTGAGACTGCCGGGGTCACTTGGGGGTTACGTGGGGTTATCCAGGTTACCGGAGTCACCGCTGGGGTCACAGAGTCATTGGTCATTTCCTTACCAGCTAGGACTGGCTGTATAAGTTTAGACCTACAGAGGCAGTCGCAGGGAAAGAGGGAATTGAGATAACGCCATAATTTGCATTTGAATCATGACTTCAGTGTAAGGATAGTTAGCTCGGAGACTTTGGAAATCATTCATTTTATTAATAAATTTCAGCATATGTTTCCGTTCCCTGTCTCTGTTTGTCTGTTTGTCTGTTCTCTCCCTTTCTCTCTCCCTCTCTCTCTCTCTCTCTTTCCTCCTCTCTCTCTCTCTCTCTCTCTCTCTCTCCTTCCCTCTCTCTCTCTCTCTTCTCTCTCTCTTTCCCTCTCTCTTTCCTCTCTCTCTCTCTCTCTCTCTCTCTCTCTCTCTCTCTCTCTCTCCCTAACCACCGGACGTCCCCCCTCCTCAGGTAATCTGCTCCGAGATCCCGACCATGCCGGCCGTCACCTTCACCCTGGCCGGCAAGCAGTACGTCCTGGAGGCGGAGGACTACGTCATCCAGGTAAGAACACGAAACTCGAAACAAGAAACTTTGCGTGCCACGCCTAGTTAAGCTTTCACACTGTATCTCAGGTGTTCACCTTTGAGTTTTAAATATATTTTTTGTTATATTTATATTAACCAAGATCTAGGTTTGAACGAGTAATCATTGAGCTCGCTGAAGCTCATCGTGTTGAGGCAGCCGCACACTGGGCCATTCGGCGGGCGAGATTCCGCAAAAGCAGAATGTCGCGGGCGACATTCCTACAGCGGCTTTCCGCTTGTTTTCAGCAGTTTACAGGACCATTCGGCGGTGCGATTTTCCACTTAGTATTTTCAGGAACTTTATGTGAAACATTTTATGATAAATATAAACGAATGCAAACTAAATACATTTAAGCAAATACAATATTTGCTTATTTAATGCGATTATGCTATATTTCTGTACAATGAAGTTTTGAATATCTATTAATTTGACATAATTTCTGGAGGAAGTTGCAAAAAAATAAAGCTCGTGATTAATGTAAACAACCGTGTTTGTCGACAAATGCAAGAAACCTAAAGACAATTGTGGAGAGGCACATAGTAACCCATTATTGGAATAACCAATGAAGTGTATAAAAACCATTTAATATGGGGAAAGAAGTGCCGCTACGATTTTTTATCAAGTGAAGTCTATTTCTCGGCTGCTCCATCAATAGTTGGTGAGTTTCAAGTTCCACAATTTCGGGTGTCCGCGGCGTCGCCGCGGAAAAGCTGAACCGGTCCAGCTTTTTCCGCAACTCCGCGGCTGTTCGCGCGCATGCGCACTCTACCCGCGGACAGCTAGCTGGCAGCGGTCGGCTGATAATTTTGTCGTTTCGGCAGCTGATTCGGCGTCCACGAAAACGTAATGTCGCCACGGAATTGCGTTTTTGCGGAATGTCGCCCGCCGAATGGCCTAGTGTGCGGCCGCCTTTGTCGTTCTAAGGGAAATCTTCATCTAATTATCGTTGAACCAGGTGATGGAATGTTGTTCCTAATTTCATCGCTTTCTGAAGTTTCAATTTTAATGATAATATATGATAAGGATAGATGTTTCAAACACCAGCCAAGATAAATATTTCTCAGCCCTCAAGCTGCCCACATGAAAATCCTTCTCACCGGATCTTCTTGCTCTAAAGCAGTATCCTGTCGTTCGTTCGCAGAACACGCAGGACGGTCAGACCCAGTGCATCTCTGGATTCATGGGTATCGACATCCCCGGAAACCCGCTCTGGATCCTGGGTGACGTCTTCATGGGCAAATACTACACCGTCTTTGACCTCGGCAATGACCGCGTGGGATTCGCCGACTCTGCCTGAGATGAATGTGCCGCAACTGGTCACAAATGTACCGTGCCGTGAAGTGATGTCATACAACAGCTGACGGCGAAGGAAACGGAAGTGTTGGAAAGGGATGTGCTGTGCAATATTGCGCAGAAATACAATGTAAGAAGGAAAAGTGTTTGTTCTGGGAGTTGGCATGTGAATAGTGTGCATCCTTTAGTCTTTACTTTAAAAAGATTTTATTTGATCATATTCGAATAAAAAAAAAACTGCACGTTACTTTCCAGCCTTCTCAAGCTCCTGCGCAATCAACTACTCGACCAAAGTGAGTTAAAATCTGGGAAACCAATCCTCCCTCTGCATTGGAGCCCGTCGCTTTCTTCAAAATTCCCAAAACAAATCGTACCTAAAGATCAGCTACCGCTAGTTGATGAGACTTGGCTCCTATAAGTCACGGACATATGCGTCTCCCCCTAAAAAGTTTATCCGCCATCTCTAGTAATGTAAATGATGACGACTCATTAGATGTACATAGATGCCTTGTCTCCCAACCTAAAAAAGCCCGCTTAGCCGCCATCTTTAGTGATGTGGATGCCGGCAATACTCATTAGTCCTTACCTTCAGCTCTGTTACCGACAGTAAATCAAGGAAATTAAAGGGACCCTCCCACCTTCAAAAAAGTTTATGAATTGGCATGAAAGTGATGTCGCTCGGTTCAGAAAGAGCAAAAACGTTATCTACCAAATTTCACCGAAAAATATTCACCGGTTTTCAAGATATTAGACAAGATATTACACTTTTACTTTTGTTTACTTTTTTGGGATCTCCGCTGTTTCTAGCGACTTTATTTTAGAAGTGCGGCGTTTGCGGCAGATGTTGCGCGCAAATAGCATATACCACCGCGTGCTACAAAACGTTTTAGTCAAACATTTAAAAATCGTTAGATATTTGCGCTGACGTCACACATTCAGAGGGGTATTCCTAAGCATTAGCCCCTCTGAATCAAAATGCTGCAATTTTGAAATTCAATATTTCCGATTTAAGGCATTTCTCGATGTTGTGAGTGCCGAAACCGGTAATTGTGAGCCAGGGACCCCATTTTGGCTATCTCAACTCAAATCTAATGTTAAGGTGGGAGGGTCCCTTTAAGTGTTCCTTCGCTACCATTTTGTGAAAATAACCTTGATATTTATTAGTATCCCAACTTAGGTAGATAAATACACTACGTATATGAAAAATGACACAATAGATTGCAAAATTGCTGGGAGCACCGTTATCATCAGTACACAAGAACTAAACAACGCCATTTAACATTGCACCCCCTCCCCCCTCGACACACACTTATTATCATAAAAGGAATATTTGTAAATAAAACTAATTTTGAAGTGGTAAAACCATTAAAGAAACTGATTTTAATTGTTACATTACATATGGAAAAATTAAAAATAGTCAACAAACGTATCCTAAGAATAAGTTTTTTTACCGTATCCTTTATGCCTGTGTTTTACCGCATCCCTTGAGCCATACGCCTGAGTTTTGCCGTACCCCAGAACTTCTCAATAGTTCACCGTATCAATGAGTAGGTATGCACAATATGAGTATTGGATAGTTCATAATATCCCGAGAGAGCATTCGCATTTCACCGCTTAGCTGTATACCGAGGACCCGAGCATGTACTCATTTAATCGTTTTTCGAGACTGTAGTTTTTCATTCTACGCCTCATGCCGAAAGCCGCTGGGCCTGACACACAAGAGACGTGCCAGGCTCAGCAAAGCCATAGCCGTGGATATACTTTTCAGGTACACCATGGGCTATTTTGCATATCTCGGAACATTGAGCGAGAATTCAAAAGTTTTGAGATGAATCATATGATGTAAGATATATTCATTATAAGATGTCACCACAACCAAAACAAGAACGAAGAACGGACTAAGCAGGAGAAAAGGTCAATCAGTACACAAACTTGACACAAACCATTACATGCCATTACCAAAATAACTGGAATTACGCATCGGTCTGGCGGTGCCACGTGCTGGAATTTTCGCCGTCATTCCATCTTGCCTTACCGAGGTCCACTTACGTGGGCACGGTGATGAGACAGTAGAAGCCAGGGCGGGTGACGCTATTGTCCGCGCAGAACTCTACCAGCAGGCGGCAGCCGAAGACGGTGAAGGTGCCGGAACCGCAGTACTTGGTTCCTTCAACCTTGAGCCAGTCGTAGTGTGAGGATGCCCCCTGGGGGTCCGGAAGCGGTGGGGAGTATGTTTCAAAAAAATATTGTTTAATAAAATTTCGTTCATCGGGGGTGTTTTTCTTTCCGAGATGGTTGCCGACCCGCGCCGTGCTCTGGAACAACCTCAGGTGAGTGTTTTCGGCTGGTAGATCCACAAATTGTTGATTAACTAGTTGACTCTCTTGCTGTTTGATTTTTTTTCTTGTTCAAAGGTAATTACACACCCATTTCCAATTGCTGATCGGTCCGTTGGTTTCAAGCTGACCGATTCCTTTCCGCCACCGTTCCTTGCGCCTGGGGCTCGTCACAAACAATATTTATAATGAGGCTGGCTTGTCGCTTGTCAACATATAGTCTTCACTGCCTAGGATGGTATCTGTCTCATAAGGAATTTAGGACACGGAAGTCTCCCCAAAGCATATAATTTTGATGTCTCCCTTGAGGACATAACTTGAAGCCACCATCTGATACCTGATAGCTACCCACCATTCTCTCCCTTTCTAATGCCTATCATCCCAAAGGTAATCGAGTACATCCCCATTTAATGTCGCCCTCAATGCTGAGATTAGATCTCCCGCTGGTCCTTACACTATATAACGCATACCTCATTCTCCCTCAGACTCACTCTCTTTGTCAAACCTCTCTCATCCCACTACAATAAATTTGATCCCGCGTCGACCTCTCAGTCCCTCCCAGCAATTGTTCTAACTCCCTCCAGCGGTACATATCAGGGACAATAAACGCAATTTGTTCAATAGACTCCGTGATTAGTGTAAATTTCATCTAAGCTTACTCTTACCTCCCAACGACTTATCGCGCCCCATTCCAACATTGGAATCGTGTGTGCTCTTCCTAGCACATCTTGGGCTCCCTGGCCCAATATCCTCGAACACCTACATCACTTGACCCTGATTACTTGTCTAAAGGTGCAACGCAGGTAGCGATTACATTATTAGCGTTCGTCGATGGGTGTGATTGGTTCAATCAATCTCTGCCGGCCCACTCTCTTCGAACACCTACACCATTTGACCCCGATTACTTGTCTAAAGATCGACGCGGGTAGCGTCAGTTATTAGCGTTCCTCGGTGGCTTATGATTGGTCCGTCAACCTCTGCCGCTCACGGCACATCTCTGTTTCCCTACTAAAACCCCGCGGCCGGACGTTGGTTACTGACCCTTGCAGCCCTTCTGTGAGAGACCGTCTTACGCGTTTTCACCTAACGAACCGGTGGACACAAGCCTGCTACCCCGACGACCGCAGTCTCACCGGGCTCATAGACAGGTACCTACTCCGTACTCTCATGCAGTCATGGCACCCGCAAGTGGCGCCTTTGAATCATTGACCGGTGTGACTCGAAGACTCCATGACTGAATCTATCCTACAATTTTATCCGACGCCGTGGAATCCTGTCCTGCAGATGTGTGTTCAAGCGCGTTAGCGTCATGAGTGATACATGCTGCGATCCTTTCCGACGGTGGACTTACCTCACCTCATCCTGGCGGAATTACCCCTTCGCCTCAATCTATCACCTTCGTATTTTGTCACTCACCTTCGGCGGAGTGCTCCCTCGTCCTGTCTCTCTGACTCACCTCTCAGCTTGGGCGTCTTATGGCGTTCTTTGTTCTGATATCTGCCTAACATATTTACTTACTTACTCCGTAACGTGAGACAGTCCAATCCTAGAAGACTTAGACGTATCAGCAGAGTCAAAAACACATGAAAGTGTTGCAACATACCTCCTCTTCGGCTAGCATCCATTCTTAGATCTTTCCTCCTTTTGTAATTCCGGTTTCAATAGCTATCGACCACTTCAGGGTCACTCCTTCTGTATCTCCTTACCTGTCTGACCCGTAGAATCCCTTCAGTCCATGTGCGCACCGCTGCGCGGTACGAATCAATTGTTACCCGCGACCCGAACAAAAAAAAATCATTGGATAGAGAAATCTGCGCCGCCAAATACTCAGACCATCTACTACTCCTTTCATCTACACGATATTTACGCCTATCAGCCGAAACGTCTCTACCGTAGCTTACTATATTCACCCAGTGACGTCATATTTCTAGGAGATTGCCAGTTTCATACTTGTTGATCGGTAATGACGTCATAAGATCCTGTCGCCTGTGGGTTAGTACATCCTGACCTCTCATCGTTCAACCTTGGAGACGCTAACTTTGATCGGAATTTCAACCGGCCCCCAGTCAATGGCATTGGTAGCTTCACGCTCTGGTGACGTAAGCAGAGCGTGAAGGTTTTTTTATTTTCCCTTCACTAGTGCTTTACCTATGGGAGATACCGATTTCGAAGGCAAAACTAAAAGTCGATTCATTAACTTATTAGTCGAGATACGTATAAATCGAGTGTACCATACGACAGCCTGATCTTTCTTCTATCGATACCCGCATCCACTTTGGCGATGGTACATACATAAAACGCTGAAATTTGGCGATAGGCGGGAAGGTGCAATCCTAAACGATATCATTCAATTACATCTTGATGGTTGCTTTTTCGAATGCTCGGAACATACCGAGTAGTGATGAACCTGACCTTCGATTCAAGCCGGATCTTGCAATACCAGCAGCTTTTTCAGGTCAGGTCAGGTCACTGACCTTTGACGTCATAAGTGAACCTCTGCACGGTCCTCAGATACCGCAAGTTCGCAACGGCCTCAGTGTCAGAGCAGATTTCACAAGGAGATGAAACTTGCAGGACCTAGTATCCTCCAGAAGTCTCACAACGTGTATATCTCGCTTTTTTATTCAAGGTCACATGAGGTCAGGCCGGTCATATGAAGTCACCATTATAAGCCAATGGGGGAAACTTATAAACAGCTATTTTGGAGCCCAGAACGATCTCAGACTAGCTGTAACACACGCAACCGTGATTATTTCATGCACTCTTTACAAGGTTCGATGCTTCATTTTTGCACCAAGAGCTTGCAT